TTCGGTTTCTTAACCTATCCCGCTACGACTTTGTGCAGCGTTGCCCACAGATGGTGTCTTTGTTTTTTGTAAAATTTGCAAAGAGCGAGCTTACCTGAGGAAAAAGTAAAGAAAGAAAAAAGGCTTAGCTCTTATGGAAACGCAGCGACACCACCGGTCTTCAAACAACACGGCGCCGTTTCGCACGGGAGACAAGAGATGGCGCAACGAACGCCGCTAACGAACGAGCATATGGCTCCGAGAGTCAGCGTTTTTAGCAGACAATCCTTTCGACTCAAAAGCGGCGCTCGTTCCGCAGGTGGTGACAGTCGCAGGAGCAAAAACAGGCGCGGTAACAACAAGGAACTGCAGTTCTTGTCTGCTAATAGACCGATCTCACAAGGAGTTGCACGACGCTGCACAAAGTGGGGAGAACTACAGGTGCATTCTGGCATCTGTAGTTCTCCCCAGTTTTCTGGCCGCGCGTCAAGGCGCGTTGTACAGCCGGCGTTTGTCAATTTTCAGGTTAGCACGAGTCTTTTAATCGGCCGTTTACTCACGGTTTTTAGTGGGCGTCTTCACCCGTTCTGTGTCAAGGTGCTACAATAACAGCACCAGGCAAAAAGGCATCGGATTTTATGTCTTCCCGAAAGAAAGCAGCCCACGAAAAGAGTGCCTAAAAAAGGTAGAGAGAGCGGTAGAAGAGCGGCAGGAAAAAGAGTTTTTAGATTTGTTTCGTTGTTTGATTCATAATTTATATTCACCCCGTAGCACGATAACTAAAGAGGGTAAGCTTACACAGGGCATGAGCCGTAGTAGGGCGTGCTAAAGTGTTCCGTACGTTGGAATCTCCCTGAGCACTCGCTCCGTAGCGCTATATCCGTTGGTCTATCTCAATCGGAACTTCCACACTGCCTTGCTGCGACGGTCTTTAATGCAATGTTTGCTTGATGCATTTTGGTGGTTACAACTGTTATTGATACGACATGTTTTGAGCACAGCTATGCTTCAAAAAGATCAGTATGATCACTGAAAAAAGAGCAGCGATTCTCGGTAGGTATAACTTGAAATAAAACAAATTTTTCCAAATCAGACTTAATTTTTTTTTTGGTGGGCTATTATGCCACAACCTGATTTTGGCTGGCGTTACTGATCCATTCTGTATTGATACCAATCGACACAGCGGAAAAAACAAACATTTTACCGTTAACCAAATAAAATTGAATAGAAACTGTACACAAAAGCTTATCTCTACCCGAAGTTCTCAGGCATCTCGCATGGTTACGTTTCATTTTGACAAATGCGAGTTGTTACGGCTCTTCAGGCAGGTTCTTTTTGTGGATCGTTTCTTTGTGTGCAGGCTTCCCCCCGTAGTTCATCCGTACCCTGTCGCAAAGGCTGTCAACCAGAATAAAACGAGTTTTAAAAGACTATCGCTCTCCGAGAATGTCTATTGAGCTCGTTTTCATTGTCGAATAAAAGTTATGCCCAAGCCTGCACACTACATAGCTCAGTATTTCACCGACACATTTGACGCTGTTCCGCGGTGCTACACCGAACCGATAGTCCCTCGAATTTCGTGCTCTTTCACGTTGAGGTAGATATTCACTTGCTTCCAAGTTATTCCAGAGTGCTCGAGGGAGTAGCGGCCTCGTTGTTTTTCCCGCTGTTGCAGTAAGACCACCGCGTGAACGCAGTGGGTTCACGCGCGTTCACGAAGGCGAAGCGGACGACGACGAGGCGGACGACAAAGCGATTCTAAAGCGATAAAACAACCAAAACTGTTTTTTTTTTTTTGCGTTTGATGACAAACTAAGGCATCACAAACAACACAATATTATAAAGTGCTGATATGCAGGAGAATCCAAGCTAACACCACGGCTTCCCAAACTATGATGTACGCCCACATGAGCACTTTTCAGCCGGGAAGCCGGAGAGCGATGACTACAAGTAGCATGGCGGCGGCAATACTTCCGGAATGCGCGCGCCTGCGCAGTTCGCTTGGTGGCATCGGTCTATTACGCCGGCTCTCGGCGTTTTCTGCTCGTTTGTTGACGGAAGTTGGCATCGCGACCGCTTGCGCCATCTCTTGTCTCCCGTGGGAAACGGCGCCGTGTTGTTTGCAGACCGGTGGCTTCGCTGCGTTTCCATAGGAGCTAAGTCTTTTTTTTTTCTTTACTTTTTCCTCAGGTTAGTTCGCTCTTTGCAGATTTTACAAAAACAAAAAAAAAACACTATTTGTGGGCAACGCTACACAAAGTCGTAGCGCGATAGGATAAGAAACCGAATTTTCCGGTCGATTTAAAGAGCCTGGCGTCTCTTTGTTTCACCCTGTAGTGTCTTACACGACTTTTACGCCGATGAACGTTTTAATAATTTCCCTACTATCAACACACTTTCGCTGTACGAGCCAACATTTCGTATGAGTTTAAACTCAGAGGAAATTAGAAATACCGCATTGTTTTAGAAAACGGTCCCCAAAAGATATTCTTTATTTTCTTTTCTAACTTATTACGAACATTGGTCATATTCCGCACCACCACGATAAAAGAGCACACGAAAAAACAGCACGTGACAAAACAGGACAGCAACAAAAGGGCAGGCACATAAATGCATGCTGTTTTAAGGGAGTCGTCTGACTCCATCAAAAATTGAATCTGGTGGCTCTCATTGTGGGGTCGGGTGACTCTAGTAAAACGGGAAGCACGGTGTTCAATTGGAGAGAGCTCGTTTACCGCTCCAGGCAGGAGGAGGGTCACCTGACGTCACTGAATAATAGAGTCACTAGATTCTAAAAGGGGGTGAGCAGATCTGGTCCACTGACTCCACTCAACACTAGAGTCGCATTACTCTTTTAGTGGTTTCACCACAGGGACAACTCTGGACTAATTTGAAGGGAGTCAGCGTTGACACCATCTGTTTAGACTTTAGAGAAAGAAAGACAAAAAGTGACTACTTCTAACGAATTCCAAAATAGAACTGGTCTGGCTTTTTAATTGCACGTGATCTTCTTTTTTTCTCAGTGGCTATCGCCACATAACCCTCCCCCCCCCCCCCCCCCCCCCCCCCTTTTGGAGACGGAGTCGTCCCAGTGAACTGTCCTGGAGTGTTTGATGCGGGTCGCGGGAGCTAATCTGGAGCTCGAGGTGGCTTGCACGCTGGAAAGATCAGCCAGCTAATCGATCGTATCGCTCTCAACAAATGCCGGCTTGAGGCGGTCAACGGACACGACCGTGTCGCGGCCATTAACCCGCAGCGTGAATGTTTTTTCGTCGTGTGCCACGACGAGGTGGGGACCAGTGTAAGGCGGCTGGAGCAAACGGCGGATGCTGTCGATGCGCAGAAACACGTAGCCACTGTTGTGCCGGTCGCGATGGAAGAAGGAAGCTTGTTCTGGCGTGTCCGCGTCGGTGGAGCGCGAACGTCGCGGCACGCTCGCGAGAAGCTCTGCACCTGGCGCAGAAGTTGCGATGGGCGACGGCCGCCCAGTTCTGCTGAGACTAACTGCCTCAGGCGTTTGCGTTCCGAAAGCATTGTGCGTTCTAAGATGGCACTCTTGAGCGCATCGTAGGGGTTCGTCGCAGGGCCGTCAGTCACCTGTTTTCTTCGGGACTAGGTGGAGGGCAGAGGACCAACTACTCGGGGATAGCGAGCAATGCCCATCTCAACCATCCCATGTGGCGGGTTCGAATCCCGGCCGAGGTGCCCGCAATCTGACGGAGGCTTATTGCGGAGAAGACGCCGTGTAACCGAGCTTTCGGTTGCACGTCAAAAGATCCCCAGGTGGTCCAAATTAATCCTCAGTCCTCCGCTGGGGCGTGCCAGATGCCCGTCGTTGGTTTGGCACGTAAAACCCCCAAATTTGACTTTTTTTGCCATCTCAACCATGTGTCGGAACTCTTGATGAGCAACGCGAAGCATTTCGGGAGCTAGCCGACGAGGCCTCGCGTGTATAGGTTGACCGCTGGTGATGATGCGGTGGACGACATCATGCCTGACCCGTTTGTCCCAGTCGGGAGCTTTTCTCGACTTGAAGAAACCTGACTTCTAGGTGCTGTGCCCAGAATGAAGGCAGGCGAACAGCGTACGCACCGACGGTCGCAGCGAAGATTGCACGAAGTCCAGAGTCAGCTGGGGAAACGTTGTGACGATCCATGCTGGGACGTCCGGGTCACCAATGAGAGAAAGACGGACGAGAAGCGACTTCGTCTGAGTAATTCTAAAATCGAACTGGTCAGGCTTTTTAATTGCACACGATCTTCTTCTGTGTAGCTGCAATGAGCGCGCTGTTGACGAGCTTCCTAAGACCAACAACAGCGCAGAAGCATGCCACCGGAGTATTCAGTCTTCGCTCGGATTTCAACATCCTGACCCGTACCAGCTCATCGAGCCATTGAAGACCGAGCAGAGCTTCACCCATACAACGATGACCAACGGTCAAGGAGGATGTACTCCTTCGAGTTCAATACCTTACACGAGAATCTCGCGAAGACTGTTATGTACCAGGCTATGTTTATTTAGAGCATAGTCTAGAGCATAGAATGAGATGATGCTTCTGGGCCGTGCTTCTGGTCAGCCGTCGATGGAATGTTCGAGAGCGCGCCATATCACTTCATCCTCGGACGGTAGTCAAGAGAGCACAGGAGCCAAGGAGCGCTGGCTGTTAGTCAGCCTACTTAACACGCCCCCCTTCGTTTTTTTTTAAAACAAAAATAACTTAACGCACAAACTAAAAACTCCAAAGCACTCGAGATCCTCATTCAATAAAGTTTTACGGTTTCATCACTTTTCTACCGGCTCGTGTGCAGTAGAGCTGGTACGAATGAACTGCCTGTGGAAAGGGTGGCGGTGACTGTGGACTGGCTGCAAGTGGAGAAGGAGCTGCGGCATAGTAATCCTCGGCTGTAACAGTCGCTGTTGGCGGCTGACTGTGAGCGGGTCGGATGTGATACCTGTTGCGCCTATACATGGTGCCTTCCGGTGTTATCACAACGTATCAGCGGTGCTGGGTTCTCACAGAATTAATGTGCCCTGGTGACCACTTGCCACAGTGCTGAAACCACACTTTTTAACCTTTCTGAAGTGCGACCAGGGGCTTTGGTTCTCTTATCCCCAAGCCGATGCTGCCGTTCCTGACGAAACTGTAGATGAGATTGGGCATCGATGCAATTGTGGTGGGGTTGCAGTTGAGTTGAATTTATCGGGACCAGTGTGCGAATTTTTCTGCCCTTTAGGAGCTCTGCAGGTGACTTCAGCCCATCCATGGGAGTGCTTCTAACATCCATAAGCACAGCAAAGAGGTATTTCCCATCTTCTATAGCTTTCTGAAGTGCGTGCTTTATGGTTTTAATGGACCTTTGAGCACGTCCATTCGATCTGGCATAGTAGAGTGAGCTGGGATTGTAGATGATGTCCCAGCTGGTGAGGAACGTTTTGAATTTCGCTGCATTAAACGGTGGTCCATTTCCACAGGCAAGTCCATCAGATACTGCAAATCTGGCGCACATAACTTTCATAGCGGTGATGACAGCTTCAGTGCAGGCGGACGCCATTGGTTGTAGTTCCACATACTTGCTAAAGTAATCCACGATGAGAAAGTAAGTGGATATGATAAAGTAGAAAAGATCAGCTGCGATCGTTTGCCATGGGCTGTCAGGCAAGTCACGATAAGTAAGTGGTTCATGTTGGTTTTGTCGCTGGTAGCGCTGGCAATGCTCGCACCGCTGGACCATCTGCTCCATGTCATTGTTCATTGAGGGCTAGTAAAGAGCCTCTCGTTCCTTGTTCTAACATGACACAATGCCATGGTGTGCTCCATGTAGTTTCTCTAGGGCGTCGTGCTGACATGAGGTAGGTAGAACCAGTCGCCGCCCACTGCGTATCAGTCCTTCACACATTCAAAATTAATCTTTGCAATGCAAAAAAATTTTTGCTGTCACAATAAATGAGCGCTGTTCTGGCTAAACTTCTCGTATATACCAGGAGACTTGCTGCAGCATTTGATCTGCAGCTGTTTCCTCACAAATCTGTTCCAGTTTTGTCGTCGAGGCGTTGACGAATGTACAGATCCCCAGACTCTCTCCGGGCTCAGAGCCTCGGCATGAGCTTGTGTTGGCAGGTGCTCGAGAAAGCGCGTCAGCGACGGTGAGCTCTTTTCCTGGGACGTATGTCAGACGGTGTGGGAACCACGTGTTCCCCGTCTCCCTATCTAGGCCTACCACACGCAGGCCGTGGGAGCGTTATGGCGACGTCATCCCGGATACAGGGGCAAGGCCACATTCCTCAAAGAGGGCTTGTCTTCTCTCGCCCTTTTGGGTGAACGTACCTCCGGCGCACCCTTTGGAAATGATTGTGGACGCGACCCGTCTGCGGGATAAGCCACACCACCTAACCCGGGCGCGCCCATTTTTCCGCCGGCTAGATAAGCGGTTCGCGAACGGCGGCTGTGACTCTCGTTTTGGGTGAAGCTCTCGTCGTGAGCCTCTTTCTTTTTGTGCGTCCCCTTCGTCCCACGAATCTGCCTAATACGGCAGTGGAGGCCCGCTCGTGGTGAATCTGTCTAATACGACAGCGCCGACACTTTACCGTTCCTTTTATTTATTAGTTTTGCCAACGGGCACAGCGTAGTGGCACAGGAGCCAAATACACACGCTTCTTTAGTACCTCTGTGTTTCGGAGTGATTCCTCTCCTCGGAGCCCACGGCAGCTTTCGGACGGACCCGGCCGTACCAGTCCTCAACATCCAGCTACGGAGTGGATCGACCTCGTGGTGCAGTGAGGTAAGTCGAATCCATCAGTGGACATCGTATCGCTGAGGCCGGAGAAGAACACACTGTAGCCGTGGTGTGATCTCCTCGAAATCTTTTTGTTGTAGACTAATCAAAGGCAGTCTGAACGATTACGATTCTACCGTAGGTGTAATAATGGAAATGCTTACAGGCAAAAACTATGGCGAGTAGCTCTTTTTCAATTTGTGCGTACTTCTGTTGAGTAGGGGTTAGAGCGGCTGAGGCATACGCAACTGGATGGCCTTCTAGCAGAAGAGCGCCATCAACTCCGTATGAGCAAGCATCTGCCGAAACTACAATGTCCCTGGTCTTATCAAAGAAGCTCAGGACAGGTGTGTCAGTGATCATACGCTTGATTTTGATGAACTCTAAGGTCAGGTCTTCATCCTAGTGCCATGGGACGTCGGTCTTTAGTAGCTGTCAGTGGCATGCCATTCCACTTGAGGCATTTGGCATGAATTTGGTAAGGTAAGTACCATACCCAGGAATTCGGGCAGCTTTGCCTTATTTTCGGGCACTGTCATAGCAATGATGGCCTCTATTTTCGCAGCGTCAGCTTGAATTCCGTCTGCCGTTAGCTGATGTCCGAGGTTGGAGATGGTGGGCATTGCTGCTTAAATTTTCTTCCAATTCGGTTTGAGGTTGTACTTGCGTGCAGTCAGCAGAACTAGATGCAGATGCTTAATTTGTTCGATGATTGTCGTTGATGCGATGAGACTGTCGTCAAAGTAGGGGTAAACGCCATTGATGCTGGCGAAGATGTCATCCATGGCACTTTGTAGGAGTTCTGGTGCATTTTTGTGTCCAAATGGGAGCCGCAAGAAGCGAAACCTGCCCCAAAAAGTTGCAAAAGTGCAAATGTACGAACTCTCCTCAGAGAGTGACAGCTGCCAAAAAGCTGATTTTGCATCAAGGAGAGTGAACACAGTGCATCCACTCAAGTGAGTGAACAATTCCTCCTGCGTCGGAAAGCAATAATGCTGACGTGTGATGGCGTTAATCAGCTGTCTGGGGTCAGTGTTGTACGGAACGCCGTTCCAAGGAACGGCGTTCCTGGAACGCGTTCCTTTAGGAGGAACGAAGGAACGCCGCCGTTGCATTTTTCATCGCTGGAACTGGAACGGGAACGCGTTACATTTTTACTGGAACGGAAAGAGTAACGGCGTTCCTTTTTTTCGTCCAGTGGGGTGATTTTTAATTTATTTCTAACAGGGAAAATATGAAAGTACAAAAACAATGCCTTTACGAGGTGCAGGATCTCTTTAACTTTTTGGCTACTAATATTATGGATTATTTAGTGTGGTCCTCGCTTGCTAAGAGTTTCGGGTGCATGAGAGCTGGTGGGTATTGATACTTTTTTGAGTGCCCGAAACTGCGGTACAAAAAGCAAAACTTTTAGTCGTAGGAAAAGACAAAGAAAGAGGGCTGTTTCAAACTCAGCTATTTTCTTTGGTTCCACGAATCCTCATACACCCAGAAATCGTATTCCGACTACAGCCATTTTTGAACTTCAATAACGAGACCTCCAATTACAACAAGATTATAGATTGCTGGATATCGGACTCACCCTTCTATCCCAAACATTATTCAGTTAAAAAATGCACAAAAAAAAAAAAAACTTTCTTCCTTTTCTTGTCCTCCACCTTCAAACTGAAAAACAAATCCAACCTTCACAACAATGTATTTGTAGCTTTCAAGACTGACTTTCCAAAAGCCCTACCCTCTCCTTCACTTGCTCGTCTTACGGACAGCAACATCGAGAAGCAACTGTTGTTAACTTCTAACACGGGACTCTGTTGAATTGAAACGTGTGAGGCTGTTGTAAAACGCTCGTGCAATCTCGGTAAAAGTACATTTGGCTCGTCTGAATTATCCACTACAAACATGGACATGGTTAATAGCTGAGATTTTTAACAAGAATATATCAACAAATGAAACCCTGCTTCCGCGTGTTTTCTTCTCCTGGTGCCCTTCCATCACGACATACGAACTCGTATGCTGACTATTAATGGGATAAATAAAAAAAAAATTCTGCTTGAGTTAACTAAATATAGTAATTAGCGAAAAATACAAATGTAACGTATATGTAACGGTACGTTCCATTTTTTAAAGTGTAACGGGAACGAGTTCCTTTTCACATATGGAACTTGTAACGGGAACGCGTTCCAAAAATCGGAAGGAACGAGGAACGAGCTTTCGTTCCTTTTTTTGAGGGACGTGTACAACACGGTCTGGGGTCATGGCAGATCCGTAGGCTGCCATCTTTCTTCGATTCCACTACTAAGGGGTTCATTTAATCTGATGGCGCGGTGATTTTTGTGATGATGTTGTCATGTTCCATCTTGTCAAGCTCCGCCTCTACATTCTGTATGATAGCTAGTGGAATATGGGGGGAGCAGCGCTAGAAGGTGCTGCTCCATCTCGGAGCGTCATTGCCACAGTTCCCGGAAGCTGACCAATTCCAGTAAACACATCTTGAAAGTCCTTGGTGACGTCAGTTGCGGCCAAATACTCGGCAGTAGGTGCTCCAGCGTCGGTTGATTCGCTCGACGAATCCAGCTGCCGAAGTCGCTGTATCAGTTCAAGATCCTGGCATGCTTCAGCACCAAGAATCAAGATGACATTAAGGTCAACAACCAGGTATCTCTACTTGGGGCTAAAGTCTCTTGTCTTTTTTTGTAGGATGCACTCGCCACTGATCGGCAGATAATCACCAATGTTAGTGGAGACCCTGACGCAGGTGAGTTATACATTTGGTGGTTGATTTTATTTCCGAAGAACATGCCCGGGAAGGACGTTTACGTCAGCCCCTGTGTCCAGTTTGAAGCTGACCTTGTTGTTGTGAGTATCAACTGTGGCCGTCTAAGAGGTAGTCTGAGCGTTATCCACTGTCAGCCGTCCCAGAAAGACTGGATATGTGGTTCGCTGGGCCACATCTCCTTTGTCAACATACAGATGCAAAGTGTCCTAATCTCCCGCACCGAAAGCAGCTGCTCCCGTAGGCAGGGCAATTTCTAAGGGCATGCACCGTACTACACCTCGAACATGGCCGGGTTGTAGGCGGGTGCTGTGGATGCTGTTGCGGTTGTGGCGGACGTTGTTGTTGTTGCGGCGGTTGTGTTGGGTAATTTTACCGGCGTCGTTGTTCGCGGTCAAAACTGGCATCTCGCCAATTGTTTCGATGCATCTCGCCCACCACTGTCTTCGGTGCAGATGCCTGGTGATCCTTGACATGTTTTCTTTTTTTTTTATATTTCTGCAGTTTTGCAGGTTGATATTATTTTCTCAAGAGTAAGGTTCTGCTCGCAGAAAAACCGTTCGCGAAGTACCGAGTTTTCGATCCCAACGATAATTCTGTCATCAATGAGCCGATCCCCCGTGCTGCCGAAGTCGCAACGGTGAGTCTGAAGTCGGAGCTCACTGACGAGATCATCAATGAACTGGCCCGCCTGTTGTGTCATCGAGTTAAAGATGCCAGTTGCTTGGGTTACGTTCTTGTAGGCTTGGTAGAGCGCGTCAAACTGCTCTAAGATATATCCGAAATTGTTGAAAGAGGCTGCTGCTTCTACGGGTAAGGCTGGAAGCGGTAGAAATGGCTGGTATATCCGACGTTCCTGGGGTCCAAGTATATGGAGGAGGAGCGCTTTCCGTGCTGCTTTTGGTTTCTTGGCGCACTCGCAGGCTGCCTCGTAGATGGGGTAGGAGGACCGCCATTCCTCCCACGAGATCGCTGTGTTTTTCGTGTCGGGCTTGAGCGCCGATGGCGGCTGGATGAAGACACCTGCCGTGTTTCGGCTAGTGCATCGTTGTTGCGTCATTGGTGCGTCGATGGCAGCTGGTGCGTCTATTGGTTCACTTCTGACAGCATGTTATGTACCAGACTGTTTATTTACCGCATAGTCTAGAACATACAGCATCTTCTGGTCAGTCACATAACAAAGACTAGGGGAAGTCATGTGCCAGTA